ATTCCATTAAAAAAAATATTTGCCCTGTGACTGAGCTCACTAATATTCATAATTGTAAATAAGTTCTGTTAATCAATGAAGGAAAGATATGTAAATGATATGCAAATTATTATGCAAATTAGCCCCGGCGCTATGCATTTTTTCTGGGGAGAACCCTGCTATTAATTACCTAATTTGCATAATTAGTTAATTTTTTGCTGTTCTATGGCTGTTGCACTGATGTCTAAAAAACACTCATTGGATTTCAATGAAACTTTTAAAGAGTACCCATCACGTTTCAATGAACCTAAGACTATGCACCATATTAGTTTTTGGTAAATATTTATGCTTCTTAATCACCTAATTAACATAATTAATTAATACTGATATCTCAAGTATTGATCATCACATTTGAATAAAACTTGGTCCATAAATGCTCTAGAACAATAGACAGCCTGATTAATTTTGGGTTAAAATCTGTTTATATTAATTCTCTAATTAGCATAATAACTAATATTTTTTTGGTTCTAATCACATTTCAATGAAACTTGGTACATTGTGCAGACCTTATTAGTTTTACACTTAAATCTGTTCATATTAGTTACCTTATTTGCATAATTAGTTTTCAGCTATTCCATCAATATCAAGTATAAGTAATTTTGAATTAATTTTTAATGTGTCTCCAAAACTCTCAGGAGTTCTTTCTAAGCTTTCTTTGATTTCATAATGTCCTGACATTTGACCCTTGTTTTATAGAGGAAGACCCCTTAGCTTTTCTTCGAGAACAGCCTCAATTCCAGCAGATGAGACAGATAATTCAACAGAACCCTTCGTTATTACCTGCTTTACTACAACAATTAGGTCAATCAAATCCACAACTCTTACAGGTGAGTTTTCTTGTGTTGCATCTTTCTGCAAGCATTCGACTTCCATGATGCCATTTTTGACTCCCATGTGCGAAGCACAAAATGGGAGTCTTTGCAGTTAGTGTGTCTGTATGTGTGTGTGTATGTGTGTATGTGTGTATGTGTGTATGTGTGTGTGTGTGTATGTGTGTCCGACTGTTCCACTGCTATCTCAAGAACCATACATCGGTTTTTGATGAAACTTGGTGCATAGATGCTCTGGGCCAATGCGCAGATTTGATTAGGTTTTGGTAAAAATCCATGCTCGTTAATTACCTAATTTGCATGATAATTAGCTAATTTTTAGCTGTTCTATGACTGTTCCACTGATATCTAAAGAACCACTCATTGGATTTTGATGAAACTTGGTACATAGATGCTCTGAACATATGCGCAGATTTGATTAATTTTTGGTAAAAATCCGTGCATATTAATTAC